ATCATATTTCTTTGAGCTGTACTGTTTTTCACATGGCTTGTTGCGTTGTTAGGCAGTTAAAATGCATTTTTGAAGTTACATTAATATGGCCAACTTGTTGTCATACAAAAGAACAGTACACTTGGAAAAGGCCATATGTTCATGCAAAGGTAGTCTTGGAAGGTAGGATATTTGTTTTTTGTTTTCTTGTGTCATCTGTTAGGTTTTTACTTTGTTTTCTCCAAATACTGTGTCTAGCAAATATTCGGATAATAGATATGAATCGTAATCAGTAAGGTTGTTATTTCCAACAGGTTTATGATGACTTTAATCAGGTACTTAAAACAGATTTTATTTTTTTTTTTTAGACATGCCTACCTGCTTTTTGGTATTACAACAAAATTTAGAATTAAGATCATACGTTTTGCATACCTAGACAGATAAATATTACTTTTATTTAAACAATGAGATATACTGAGGTCCTCCTATCAAAATAGGTGACGAGAGGATATTTTCAGTACTGCAATACTCTAAAATAAAATAAATGAGCAAACATACTGAATTTCCCCAAGCGCTTTGCACTGGCACGAGCCGAATTCACTGCTGCTCTTTCCACTTGGAATTACTCATTCCTGTACACGTGCCACTGCTTCCTCAGCGTCTAGGCCAGCACAAGCCTTCCTCCAGCCACAGAGATTAGGGAACCGATCTAGGTTAAGACTAATCCAGCAGAAATACACAAATCGGCTCCCTTATCTGATTCACTGGAGCAACGTTACCCCTGCGGAGGAGAGGAGCAGCCCGGAGCAGGAGGAGCCTTTCAGCAGAGGGTTGAGTTGGACCCTCTGACCTGAGTAAGGGGCTACACCCCGGGGATTTCCTTCTGAGGAACAGGAGAAAATCCTAAATTCCAGGAGAATGAAGAAGAAAAACAAAAATGTGGCATGTCTATAATTTTCAAGCTGAGGAGCTAACAGAGCCCTGATTTAAGCCAGGTGGTCTGAATTGATCAAGGTTTCGGGTCTACATTGGGGAAACCTGAAAATCTTGTGATTCCCTGTAGTTAGTCCCAAGCATAATCATGCAAAGATATTTTCACCAGTTATTTAGGCTGGTTATAAGAATAAAATTAAATACTCTGGTTAGGCTGGGTTTATGATTCTCCATCACATATTCAAGTCACGGAATTAGTCGTTAGCTGTGTTTGGTTTTGTCAAAAAATCTACAAGGCATTTTAGGGAAAAATGCCTACAGGTCTAAAATCTACTTTCAATGGTATCTAAGCTACTTTGAGGCTTTTATGTTAATTTTTATGTATGTGTATGTGTGTGACTATATATAGAGGCGTGTATATAAATTAGATATAAATAAGCAAAACTGGGTTTCTTTTTAACAGTTTTAGTTCTCTGAAGTTTTATGGTAGATCTTCTCAAGAATATCTCATTGAAAAGTACTTTTATCCATTCTCCAACTGTGTGGGCTCTATTTCTACAGCCTTAAATTCTGTGGAAGCGTAAAGCAGTGGAGGATATAGCCAGAGTTGGACCCAACCCTTGGACAGTAGGGTGTGCTTCTGATTTTATTTTTACGGTCAGTGGAGAAAGAGGGATCCTTCTAGAGGGCAGTTCAGAATAGAGCTGTGTTTAGGATCAGTTTAGATTGATTTATTTTAAACCACACTTCAGACTCTATCTTTTTTAACCGACTACTGAGAGAGCCTATGTAAACTCACCAGTTTTGTTCAGTGTTTGCTTTTCTGAATGAGCCCATGGTTTATTATAGTGGAGCGAAGCAGTCTGTTAGAGAAGCCCGGCCATCTACGTGAAGCACAGATATTGATAACTTGTCTTTCTGCAAATCTTATTTTAGTCCAACACGTATTTTATTGCAGGAAGAAGAGGCTTTATCACAAGCAAGCAGACAAAGCAACATAAAGACTTGAAGAAACAGCACTTCTAATTCTTTCCAAAAGTTCAGAGACCCACCAAAACCTGGTGGATTCCCTCCACCAGTCTTCCTGATTTGAGGTAGGTGAATTATCTCTTTGCCACTTCTTCGCTGTCACATATATATGGGTTATAAACAGAGTGATTTCAGATTTTAAAATTGTTTCTTCTGTTTTCTTCAGTGTGTCAGAAAATAACGGTGGGCTTTCAGTAGGCTGGTGTTACAGGCAGTGGTTTTTAGCTGGTGGCAGTGTAGTGCCACCCCTAGAAATTAGCGATAGCCTGTTCATTTTTAGTATTATGGAAGACGATGCACTTACTAAATATAATTTTGTGTGATTTTTCCACTTAACAAAATAAAAATAGCAATTAATTGAAAGTAAAATCAGACAAAAACCAGGCTGGATGCTTGTAAACAGGTCTCTCAAATTCTGCCAGATATTTTCTAGCATGAAGCCTCATGGCTCTCATTTGGGATTAACTCTTCTGGAGGAGCATTGTTCAGTTATGTTACAGGGTAAATAGGAGGAATAAACAGCCAATAATCAAGTTGATTGATTTAGAAGAAATAAATTTAAAACCCACCTGAAGAAGAAAGAGAACTGGCTGCCTGCCATTCTTTCTCTCTGCTCATTTGTGACAGCGCACAATTGAAAAATTGTTGAGTTTGTTTCTGTTACTGGAAGATCACTTTTTGGCATTTTTCATTTTTCTTATGAAAAATAAAGTATCTGTAATTTTAGATACATCAGATACCATAGTTGTAAGAATATTGTATGTATTTTAAGAGATTAGATGGGGACAGGATTTTTTTAATCTGTTAGTACAGACTTGTTATGTAAATAGAAAGCTCACAAAGAGAACGAGACAGCACATGCACTGAAAAAAACAGATGTCTCTTCCCCAGAAATACATTCACCATGAGATTCCTGCGACTTGGTGACAACTCATTGGGAAGTTTATTGTTATGGATATGTATGCAATCGAAAAATAAACATATTGTAGTCACTGTCTAAGCCTTATACTTGTCCCTGAATGATGAGCTGATGTTTTCACGTACAGTGCTATTTAATAACAGCAAGGGCAGTCTGTGACAGTCATCTTGCATGAAATAGCAGACCTCAGAAGTGTAAGTGTTTTTTTCAATGTCGTGTGTCCATTTTTTAATTGGAAAAAAAAAATCCTTTGGAGGTGTTTTGGTTTTGTTTCTTTACAAACGCTTATTTTTAATTCTTTATCACAAAAACCTCATAGTTCCTAACAGGCAGAGAAGGCTAGGAAGGCTGGTTAAAAGGAGAAGGAGCACAGGACTTTCCAGAGGGGAAAAACAATGCAGAACCTATTGAATTAGCCAGAAAAATCCTCTTGCCTTGCCATGTTGGAGCCTTTTGATTATCCCTTGGTATTTATAAAACTATATTCTGTAGCTGGTCAGCCGTCTCTATGGTGCTAGTAAGTTTGTAAATGGCATATGCATAATTAAGGTAAGGTCGATTTTTCCAGCAGAAACTTTGATTACAGATTCATTTACATGTTTTCATTTCTGTATGCTCAGCATGGACAATTTTTATCCCTAATTTATTGTTAACTCTTTTTATTTAGATATTATAAGTTAAACATCAGGTTATTTATTTGAATTCATTTTAATATGGCTTTTCTGTAGATTTCCCGAGGCCTTTATTAGAAGCTTCTTTTACTGATGCCGCTTCAATCCTTAGTACTGTCCACGTGACCTAGTTATTTTAAGCCCTAGTACGACTTAGGTTTCATTCTTCGGCTATTTCATCCATCTATTGAAATTGTTTCCAGTAAATTAGTTTTACAGTGTTTGCTGTGATTAGCATTATATGCTCAAGGGAAGTTCTTCATGAAAATGTCTCTTATCAATACCTTTCAATGTGTTTAAACATTAATAAATAATTTTGTACGAAGAATGTAATATCCATAGTGAAATTATGATCTAAAATATATTTGTATGCAAATTCTCTAATGGTAGGTTATACCATCTTTCTAGTTGTTTTGTTACTGTATAGATAAGCTGTGTTATGAAGCCACAGATTCTTATTTATCTGCACTTTTATGAATAACCTGTGTAAAAATGTTCATTCTTTGAAATATTTTACGCAGCTTATATACGGCAGAAACAAGTTAAAAATTTCCGTCATTTCTACAGTTGAAAAATAAATTCTTGTGTTTAAATTGTGCCATTTATATGTTAGATTTTAAGATGCAGAATTTGTGGAGTAATTTAAAAAGCATTGGCATTCGGCTCCTTGATAAGCTGAGGGTGGTAGCTGAGGCCCATTGGTCAGAACCCAACCTTGTGAGTCCCGTGGATTCTTCACAGGAGCGCAAGCTCAGCGTGTCTCAGACTCCAGGAGATTTGTATCATTCTCCTTTCACAGTCTGTCTGACTTTGTGAGTAACCTTTACTGCAGCTCTCTCCGTTGAGTACCCCAAGTCTTCACCTGTTAAAAAATGCAGCATTTTTTTTTTCAGTCGTAGATATATTCAGTACTTATAGCCCTGTGACCCCTTTAATTTGTAAACTCATGGTTTTGTTTGTTCAACGAAGTCGTTTAACCCTTTCATCTAAAGAGAAGAGGCTTTATTTTACTAATTGCAATAATACTAATTTTGTTCTTATGTATGTTTTATTTTCTTTTTTTATTTCAATCATTTTAATAATATCTGTGGACTGGATGTACCTTGTTAGTATTCTAGATACATGAAAACATTCTCTGTTAAGAACAGGTGAGCACTGTAATGTTTAGAAGCATTAAATGTATAGTGCTTAAACACAGAAGCTGTCCAGTGCCCCAGTCTTTAAGAAAGTCTAAACATATATGCATAATTTTACAGAGACATAATTTTCAAAGTGATACTGGTTGGGGAAGAACTTTAGCGAGTTAATAATTATTCTCCCAAGTAGTTTGCATATGAAGAAACTGTTCACTGAAAGGCTCTTCTGGGAGGGTAAATGCACTCTGAAACAACCAAGACTCTTTGGTACCCATTTTTACAAAATGTTGTGCCCCAGTTTTGCCCTTAAATTGGGAAGATGCTGATCAACTGGTAACTCAGGTAAATTAGTGGGACTAATAAATAAAGTCAGTGAAAGCCAAACAGCAGGTCATCACCAAGACGGTTTTGCTTATGAACTTAACTAAGATACTTTCATAATCATAGTAAATACTGTATTGGGTATTTGCAGCCAGTGTACTATGTGACTTACATGTTTATACCCTGTTTCTTCGGTATATCTGAAATTATTCATTCACATTTTGTATCAACAGGTTTTCTGTTAAGGTAGAAGATTTTAACAACCACTAAGACATTTACTGGGATTCAAAAAATATTGACTGGCTGTTTGCATCTACTTTAATCAAAGATTTATTTTAAAAAAATATATATAAAATCTTCAATAATTCTGAATTTGTTGAATTTGTATTTCTAATCCCTAACTGTGCACTAACTGAGTTCTCAGGCTTTCAGGTATAATGTTTTAAGGGCCTATGTTAACTCTTTTGGATACGCCTTTAACCTAATGAGCTCCAGTCCATTTCACTTCTAAAAGAACTAATTAATTGTCTTAAAGTCCTGCAAAGACTGTTAATTCCTTTCGGTGTCAGAGACATTGAAAGTGGCACAGTCAAAGCCTAGCTAAGCCAGAGCCAGTGGAGGAGTGCAGGTACATTTTGGTGGTGATTGGAAGGAAATGGCTCAACCAGAGGTGGGTGTTACGGAATAACCCAAGTTGTGTTTCAGCTGGGGGTTCACCTCTGCCTGTGTACCTGTGCAAAGACTAATTTAATAGGTCATCAACAATACTGGTGGAACCTTTTAGGTAACCAAGGCCATTTGCAGTATCGTAACTCTTCAAAGTGTAGACTTTGCCCTCATCATTGAAAGTTTTGAGCATGCATCAATATAAGTCGGGTTCTCTGAAGAAGTGACCTTTTTTGTATGCATACTACTTCCATCATAAAAATCCATATACTCATTTTTATAGAAATCTATTCACTTTTCTGGACAGCGAACCACCATAATATACATAATATAGTAAAAGGCACCTTTTTTTTAAAAAAAAAATCAGTTCCAGTCAGAGCATCCTACCGTTTTTAAAAGTAAATACTACAGTTTATACTACAAAGCAATTGGATAAGGCCTTACAAAGCACTCAAGAAAAGCAAAATAAAAACATTTGGCTCATTTTTTAATTTAAATAATCAAACTCTCTCAACAGATGTAACGTGGGGTGCCAGAGTTCCTCAGATGAGGGGTGTAGTAAGACAAGGAACCAGCCTCAATGGACATTGCCCACTGTCAAGATCTAAACAGGAGACTATCTAAAGCAAAGCTGAAAGTGCATCAAGAATTTTAAGAAGCCTAAAGATCCCCCAAGGTAACTAGAAGCAAGACCATGAGGAGTAATGTAGGTAAGTATTCAAAAGTAAATCAATGCATTTAGTAAGTCGAGAAACTTTTGATTTTAATGTGATAGTTTTATGCTGTGGTAGTAAAGTTTGTTAGAAATGCATTTCAAGTAGTATAATACGAAGGATTTGAGCCGATGTTTAAAAAAAAAATTAAAACAGAAGAACAGCAGACTTCTCCAACATTTAATGGTGCGGAAGCAGAAAAGTAAACAATTTAGCAATTCATATCTTTGTACAAGATAGACAGTGCACCCATACGTGGACCTTTTTGATAACAGAACAAAGAAGAAAAAAAGCATTCTTGACCTAGATTTAACAGATTGTATTGAAACAGCATATGAAGCACAGTATTTTAATGGTAAGAACATTACCATTTTGTGACAGTGTGATTCATAGGGAGTGTTAGTCATAATTGGTAGTAATATATTTTGACATAATTAAACAATAGGACTCCAGTTATCTGTATCAGAAAATATGCAGCAACATTCTTGACCTAGATTATATTGTAATAACAAAGTTAGCTGCCTTGCCCTGAGATGAAGCCAGAACTTTACAGTAAAATGTAAAATAAAATGCTCTTATTCTTATACATTTCCATAATCAAAATATAAGGTTATACCATGTCAACAACCAGCAGATGGAGAAAAAGAATGTCCTAGGAAGCTCAAAGAACACGCTAGGAAACTGAGCTATAAATACCAGGCTAATTCCATAGCTTTAAGATTTCTCCAAAGCTTTTTTAAATCCCTCCAGAAAAGACTGAAGAGATCCCTAATATGAAGTGCCCCAGTTGAAGAAATGTGTACATTTTTATTTTTAAATACAATTACATTCATCTACAATCGATTGTTTGGACATCTTAATGAATCAGTGTAGTGTCTGTACTATATTTGTTGCATCAAAAATAAGGTTTCTGTGCACATGGGTACATTTTCATTTTTATTAGTACTTTCTTCTTCAGAGAAAATACAGATTTCTGTCTGATCACTTCTGCACCAATATGTGTAGCATTCCCACAGAATATTTGATGTTCATTTCAAATCTCTATTTTTCTGAGCGCTGTCCCTTTCAGTACAGACAGCTAACAGAAGAGCAGTCGTCTTTGGTAGGATTTTATGAAAATTTGGAAGATCTTTTGATATTTTTTTCCTTTGCATTTGTAAATCTTACCTGTGGAACGTAACGTTGTGGCTGTATTTTTTTTTTTTCTGGCTTCCGTATTTAATATTCTAAATTACTGAAAGCAGGCCTTCAGGTTTCATGGCCTTCCAAGGAGGATGTTTTTCTCCTGTTGTAATTTAATTTGGTGAATCTATGATGTGAACAGGTTCTAAGACAAGTGTTTATAAGAAAACCTGGATTATGATATAAGTGAATTGTTGAATGTATAAATTCTTTTCTCCATAATGGTGGATGAAGAGATGTATACACTTGTGTTACCAAGGCACTATGTAGCGTTTCCTGTTGAAGTTAGGAAAACCAGTAGCTGGGGATGTCATGAGACAGAATTATCATGTAACCATCAAGTGATACTGATTGGAAGGGATATCTGGAGGTCACACAGAATGGCTGAGGTTGGAAGGGGCCTCTGGAGGTCATCATGTCCAACCCCCCTGCTGAAGCAGGGTCACCTAGAGCGGGTTGTATGTCCAGACAGTCTTTGAAGATGTCCACAGGTGGAGACTCCACCACCTCTCTGGGACCCTTGTGCCCGTGCCCCATCACCCCCACAGTGAAAAAGTATTTCCTGATGTCCAGACAGAAATGCCTGCGTTTCCATCTGGGCCCTTTACCTCTGTCCTGTTGCTGAACACCACTGAAAAGAGACTGGCCCCATCTTCTTTGGCTCCATCTTCTTTGGCTCCATCTTCTTTGGCCCCATCTTCTTTGGCCCCATCTTCTTTGGCCCCATCTTCTTTGCACCCATCTTCTTTGCACCCATCTTCTTTGCACCCATCTTCTTTGCACCCATCTTCCAGGTATTCATACACACTGAGAAGATTCCCCCCAGAGCCTTAATTTTCCTAATGTGTATTCAAAACTTTCCACGTTGCACGTGTGTCTGCTGCTTGTCCTTTAACTGTGGGTGTTGGAGGTGATTCTGGCTCTGTCTTCTCCTTAACCACGTTAGCTAGTTGAAGACAGCAGTAAGATCTTCCCTAAACCTTCTCTTCTTGAGCTTCTTCTTCCATACGGATCTCTTCACTTCTTAAGAACGTCTCTTACTTTCTGCACCGATGCTTTGCTTAAGAAAATACATTGAAAATATTATCTTTTTCGGAAATTTCTGAGCTTCCGTGGCATGTTCCCTCTATAAGTTGCAGAGCTTGAGGGGGCGGGGGGAATCACAAATCTTCATTCCAAGAGTGCTGGAAATTTTTTCAGTGTATAATACCAGTGTCTGACACAAGACTCGGGATGTGTTCACTGCTAGTGAGACTGTAGGCAGAATGTATTTTACAGTACTGGACGCCGCCCTTTAAAGAAAATTTGTATTAGGCAGAAGAAGGCAAAGCAGAGCAACAAGCTAGTGACAGATTTAGAAAGCAGGACTGTTAAAGAACAGCTGAAAGGATTGGGTTTGTTTATTCTAGATAAAAAGAGAACACTGTAGGATGGGCACAAGGCTTTAAAAAGATAAGAGGTTTTTATGAAAGCAATGGTGGCAGTTGCTCTGTAGATTTAAAAAAAAAAATGAAAAAGGTAATTTCAATTTCCACAAAGGATAATTTAGGATAGATGTAAAGAGAAAACAGTCCAGGTTTTTTTGTTTTACCTCATATCTGACTTTAAATATGAATGAAAAACTGGATATTTTACCTGTAACTGTCATGAAATCTATGATAAGAAATTTTTAAAAATGCGTAAAGAAGCAGCTTTCAGAGGGTATCTTGGTAATTTTTACCTTCCACCGCTGGCGCTGGGCTGAGCAGATTTCTCTCCTGAGATCCCTCTTCAGATCCTCAGTTTCTGTAATTCTGACAGTTTAATTGTGGGATTAGCTTTGTTTTGTTTCTCTGCAAACTTTTTCTATTACCAATAATATACTTCTGTTGAAGGTACGTGGTATTTAAAGTCTTCACGTGTGGCAGTTTCCATTACAAAAAAAAAATGAAGCAAAGGACCTTTTTTCCTTAAACAAAATGCTTTGGAATGCTTTGAAAACCTCTTTAAAATGGAGTGAAATACAATTTCGGTGACCTTTGGAAATTTACCACTGATTTCCTTGAATTCAGAATTCCATTGGGATGGTAGGCTGAAGCATAACGTAAGAAACCAATACATGCAAATGTGGGAAGCCGTCTTACCTGTCTGTAGCTTGAATTTGTAGTTCTTAGATTTTTTTTTTTTTCTGCCAAAAGTTTATGGCATTTGTTCACGATGCTAATGGCTTTGTTTATGGAGGGGGGTTTTGTGACAGAATATATTTGTCTTACCAAATGAATTTCTTTTGATCAAGCTTTAAATATATTGTGATGAAGAGCTGACTAAATGGTTCTTTACCTACATTTTTTTCCAATAGCTCACTTTTGGAGCATGGTGCCAGAACATGCTAAATATCTGTTTTACATCCCTACTGTCTGCATTTCCAGAGAGATTTTTCAAGCCTATTCAGTGAATAAAGAACTGTTGGAGTTTTAAGTTAGTATCTGGCACAACACATCGTCCTTCAGTTGGGATGAAGTAGTGCGTTTTCTAGGTTCTCATCTTTTTTTGAGCTTTGTTCTTCAACTCTTGGATGTACTGCTTCCTTAAAGGGACACATGGTTTTAATTTCTAGGTGCCTGTGGCCCTTACTCTCATTTTTCTTTTCACTGCTTTGATGAGCTGGTGGAAATCTCTTACACTTGTCAAGCTTGAATGTGATTCACCCTTTTGTTTAGTTCCTTCTGAAGAGAATCAAACCTTTTTTTATCTAGCTTAGCATACGTGCAGTCTATTGCACATGCAGTAAAATCAGGTTTTATAGCACATCCAGTGAGCAGAGCCATGGATACCTGGCAGGGCAGAGTTGAGCTTCGTTACCAACTACCATCTTGCTCTACGTTAAACCTAACGATGGCAAAACACCTCCAAGAAGAGTTTCACAACCCCTGTACTGAAGTAGGAAATAGAATGCTTTTTATTATCATAAAAACAAATGTTTCATTTTCTCAGAGCCAGACTACAGCCTTCACAGTTTATCAGACAATGAAATTTATCCTTATTAAAGTGTCAGTTTGAATGTGTCTGATAATTGTTATGTAAAAATTCAACGCCAGAATCCAAAGACACTAAAATGTAGGTACTTTGCTCATTTCAGTAGGCTAAAAATACCTTGGCTTTCTTAAAAGTAAATCTCTGAGTGAAGGGGATGGGACAGCCAGCCAGGAAAGGGGTTTTTCACTCATGAAGCACAAAATCTTACTTGAAACTAGTGGCATGTAGAACATTTATCATCTCTGTTTCCTGAAGACAGATTAAACTTTAGTAGAGTAGATTTTTTTAAAAAAAAATAAGTTGTACATTAGCATTTTTGTAAATATTGGAATTTTTTTTTTCCTGTGCTCATGATATTTTATGGAAGTGAAGTGTGTACAAAATATGAAGTAGAAACAATTATTTCAGAGTTTCAAAGGAGGAATAATATTGTAAGAAGCCTCTCTGATTAAGTGTTTATAAACACGAAGAAATAATTAAGAATAATTTAATATTGAAATCTTAACATTATAAGTGGACTGTATTGCTTATAATTGCTTATCTTCTGTTTCAACTCATTCTTTATTTTTCAGCTTGGAATGAACAAGATGAACATATCCACCTGCAATCTAATGCTTAATGAGGAAAAAGGTCAGGCTATTTTTTTTCATTTTTTTTATTAAATCCTGTGCCCCACTGTTAATTAGTATATTAAAAAAATGCCTTATATGTGCATTACTTATTTCATAGATCTTAAACCAAATGTGATGTTTTCATATGAGGGTGAGAAAGAATATTTTTAAATCAAATGGTATATTCATAAAAGAGCTGACTCAGACCAGTGTAAGTAGAAAAAGAAGCTGTAGAAGGAAAGGTCATGTATACAAATCTTCAGAGAGATTCATTTAAAAATGATTAAACTTTTAGACGTAATGGACCTCTTGTATATCAAGAAAGAAATGTTTGTCATCGTTTTCATGGAGTGAAAGCATTTAAAAGGATTAAAATCACCCACCTCCTTTTTATTCAAAATATCCTTGAACTTCTGAGTCCTCTTTTAGGAAACAGAGAGAACTATCTCTTAAGTAAAACAGCGGGGCCAAATTCTCCAAATGCTTACACGTTCAATTATCACTGAAAGACAGTAAGTAATAATCTGCTAATGCCAGGGATTCATCTATCATGCTGTACAGGTTTGTAGCACACCAGATTTCAGAGGGGCAACCAAAGCTCTCAAACACTATTACCATTATGCCAGATAAGGCTGTAGAATTTGCATTAAGGTGTCTGAATAGCTGATTTTTATGTTATAATATTTTTTAATATCTTAAGAGTATTTTCATTAGGGAAATTGCTGAGTAGAGATACATAATTCAGTAAACAATTTAAAAAATAGTGCTTGGAGAAGAAATACCATGTGTCTAAAAATAGTATAGTCATGTGACATTACTTTGGCACAAAAGCATAATTTACAGGTTTAATTTGCAATCCTACTATGTTTCTGACATTCTCTCACACAGAAATTCGGTCTGAATTATTCAAATGATTTAAATATTGCTGTGTCCTGAACTTCAGGTGTCTAATACAAAGGAGGTTTATCTAGTTTGTTGAGACCTCTACACTGAAGATAGGGGAGTATGATTTTCATTTTTACCATTTATTGCTTAATTTTTGATATTGCAGTGCACAGTTAATGGAGATCTGGGGCTAATCCAGCAATTGGTATGGCCATAGCTCCGAGCCTGTCATGACATTTCTATCAATCTGAGGGTTTTTTCTTTTTTTGACCTCCTTAAAATCTAAAATCTGATTAGGTTTTCATGTGTAGGTTTTGAAATAGTTACATTTAGATACTATTTTCTTTTAAAATTAACTTTTTTGTTTTCAGAAATTTCTATTTCCCTCCTAATCAGTAAGTCAATAATGTACAGCAAAGCTGTCAAGTAGAACTGAACATTTACAAATAGTTATTACCTGTTTATTTTTTTCATCTATTTATTGGATACCTTAAGAACATTCTGTATCAAATTTTCCTTAAAACCTTATAATCTTCATTATAAAACTATATATAATAATTTCAGATTTTTGGAAGCCCAAAACATGAGAATTGAAAGAAGTTTGTTAGTAGTTTGTTCATGTGCTTGGATCACCTTTTGAAGTAATTTTAACTTTGATCTGAAACTTTAAAATAGTTATAGCTAAATAATTTCATAATAATCGGTGTGTTATTTTAGAGTTTTAAGTTCGTGTTAATTTTAACTTTTTTGGATAAATGTGAATGCCTGCAGTGGTTGCTTTCTAATGAGTCTGTAGCAAGAGCAATCCCACTGTGACAAACCAGATTTTTCTCTATTATCCTCTTCTGTTGTGGGAGTTGGTCTTGGAAGGTCTGAATTTTCTCTCTTGTAGGTGCAGGTTGCTTTTTTCTTCCATATTTTGTAGGCACCTTTTTCTTGATGCAGAGTCGTGGTAACTTTCTCTGATAGAGTCTTGTAGAGCTTGATAGTTTCTTATAGAGGTAACCGAATGACAGTTGGTGTGGAAAAGTTTCAGTGTTATAACCATGAAAGATACCTGAAGCCACACAGAATTAAGATTTACTCATGCTTGTTCCAAAATATTAAATTCTGGAAAAGCATTACCTCAACAAAATCAAAATACTTTGAAGAATTGTGGCTTTCTTATGGCAAGATGGGTTTTGGAGGAGACAGAAATTCCTATTTGAACAAAAACTGGAAGGGGACCCAGAAAAAGTGGCATTCCCAGTTGCAGAACTGATACGTACCGATGATGCATCATCGCTGTGTGATGCAGAAGAACTGGGGAAAAGCTGTTCAGAAAAAATATTCAAGTGTCCTTTCTGCTTATATTGTAGAAAACCTCATCCTTCAGAATGCTCAGCTAGGGACCTTGCTTGGCAGCTCTTCTCTGCAATGGAATACTTTACCTGCTGTCTTGTTTCAGAGATTGAAAAACTAACCAGTTTGTGTAAGATTGTTAAAGCTTCATGCCTGCGGATTGAAACAAGACCATTGAAAAGTAAATGTATGAATAGCTTTTGGCCATTTTAAAACAAACAAAAAACAAACAAAACAAACACAAAACAAACAAACAAACAAACAAAAAAAAACACAAAAAAAAAGGAGAAGACATCCAAGTGCATGTTTGCTTTTCCTAAATTTGTGGGTTGCTGGAGATGGACATAGTATATTCTAGAAGTTCCTCATTTCATTAGACGAGTTCCCCTAAAGTGAGAAAGTGGATATAATAACGTTTCTTCACTTCTTACTAATATATAGGTTAGTAATATTCTGTTTCGTAATGTTCTCAAAGAATGGTTTTGATAATGGTGACGTGATTTTTATCTACAGAATAACTTGGTTGATTTAGATTGCATACCAACTACTAGTTGTCTTTCCTAAAACATCTGAGTGCTTACATTATTTTGACAGTAACGTAGGCCTGTCTCACATGCACACAGTTTTGACCTATTTCCCTCATAAAGAAAAAAATTAATGTGGTGGAAGGCCTGAAAAAGCATTATGACTCTTCTGTATTCTTCTACGGACTCTACCGGGTGACTGTTGTATTTATTAAATTCTTATTGAGTAGACAGAGCTGAGGCTTAAAAAGAAAATCCTTTTGTTTCCTGCCGTCTTTTTTGATTGTTGTGTATCTCCGTTCTGCTTTTTTGACAAAACCCTTTTAGAGATGCTATGTGTATGCATACGTGCACATGTGTACACAAAGGAAGTTCTTGAAAGGATGTACTTTCTCCATTCTTTCATTCGAATTGAAAACCTCTGGGACTTACACAGATAGATGGGTTAAAAGGCAGTTGTACTTTGAGGAGGTTTCAGGGTTTTGTACTACACATACACTAAATAAAGAGTCATAAAAGCATGGTGCTCCTCCCCAGTCCAGCCATTGCCTTGGACAACTCTAATGGCACAGTTAAATCTCCTAAATTGAAGTTATCTTGCAGCTCAACAAACTCCTGATTTTTACTTGTACTATGAGCAGGAAGGATATCGGATGTGAGGTTACAACTTCTGTTTAGTTAACAGCATGCTGGACCAAAATGTTCCAAGAGAAGACATTCATCTTTTGTGCTCTTAATGATCAGGTAGAATCTGTGACCATAAATCAGTCTTGCTCCGTGAGAATCTTTTCCTTATTGTTTTGTACATGTAGATTCACACAATCCCAGAATCATTCAGGTTGGAAAAGCCCCTTGGGATCATCGAGTCCAACCCTTAGCCCGACTCTACAAAGTTCTCCCCTACCCCATATCCCCCAACATCTCATCCAAACGACCCTTAAACCCCCCCCAGGGATGGAGACTCCACCACTTCCCTGAGCAGCCTATTCCACTCTCTGATCACGCTTTCTGGGAAAAATTTCTTCCTTATGTCCAGTCTAAAACTCCCCTGTTCAGTTTAAAATTCCTAAATAGTTCTGAAGTGACTCCTTTGGTCATCTATTCTGGCAGTATAGGACTCCAAGTAGTCTAGGGTTCTGTCCATGCATGTGCAGGTAGGCAAGGCTGGCTGAGCTGGAGCATGTCCAGTGGGCTACTGGTGAAAGTCGTTGACTGTGGATGTAGAGACAGGTACAGTCACCTGGACTCTTTAAGTTTTTTTGCCGTTTATGAGTGAATTTATCCAAATAACTTCTATTTTATAGAGTGGTTAAATTGGGGGCTTCCGATCTTCAAAAGTTCTACAGCATCAAAAGTGGTATATCTTAGGGATGCATAAGCCTTGTTATAGTACATTATAAAGCTATCCTTGATACAGTTCAAAATAACTCAATACAAAGGTAGCGGGACTGGTATAAATTGATTCGGCACTAGGGCAATCTAAAATGTATCATTTTAATTAAGTCATTCGGTGCAGATCAATTTTCTGGTTGTTGCAATGTATTCTTAATACTCTGTATTTACGAGTAAGATGAAGATGTCTGTCTCAAACCAAAGGCTGGAGTATATCATGTATACAGCTGTATTATAGTCCTGGATAGCAATACAATGAGATAAGATTGACGGCAGAAAGGTTTCCTTTATACTTCGGGCACATTTGTTTGTTGAATCACTCACCTAAAAATAGGGCTTCATAAAGTATTCAATACCATCTAATTAGTCAAGAGAATGCTTCTTTTCAAAATGGAGAAGCATTCCCAAAAAGTGATGCAACACTTGTATCTAATTAGATGATACAGGAGAATCCTAACTAATTGCTTTGATAGACTTAAACAGATTAATAATGTGCAAGAGGCAACTAAATAAAAACCCATTTTAACTCTGCGTGGTTTGAAAATAACATTTTTTTTAAGAAGCGAAAACTTCCTGATAGTTCTAAAACTCCCAAGACCGTGATTTGAGGGCAATTTCTATTTCTGAATGTATTTTGTAGGTTTTTCTGCGATAGAAAGGAAAGTTTAGGAAATGAGATTGCAGTTTGTATCTATAAGCAGTGTTTTGTGTATGTTCTAAGCGTTTGCAAGACTCTATACACAAAATCTGGTCATTCCATAAATAAGCGCTGGGGTTTTGGGCATCGGAGAGGCAGTCATTGATCGTAGACTCTTAAGTAGCCCCTGTGACACATGGAATTGTTAGACTCGCTTAAAAGTTCAAGTAAGAAAAAAATACTGGAGCATCTTTGCAATATTTGACTGTCAAACTTTGTCTTAATTGGCTTTGCATCAATATATTAATAAAATAAACGCTATATTGGTGTTTGTCTCGTATGTGATAGCTCTGAATCCAGACTATTAGTATCTGATTTAAGTTGCTTTTTACTTTGTACCAAGTTTTCTATTTCAGCACTTGACTAAAAGATTGTTAAAGTAAACATTTAACAGCTGAGTGTGCAAAGAGGCTTCCTAAAATGCAACATTTCAAAAAGTGAGACAGTTGCATTAAAAATTGAAAACATACTTGGAGCATATGAAAACTAAGGAGAAATTTTCCAGGGGTTTGAGCTGAAGGAGGGAAACAATTCAGGGTAATTTTGCATAGTTCTCCAATGAAATATTTTTAAGCGTATTGTAATGAAACTGGACTGCAAAACAAATCTAAACAGCATGTCTTGGCGCACAGAAAAAAGAAGTAATTGATTTAGATGTGGAAAGTTGTGTTGCTCGTGGTGAGATAACATGAGTTGTCTGGAGTTGTTACGAGATTACAGAGACGAGGTATTTATTATAGGAGTTGATGAAAATCAGGCCTTTGGATAGAAGCCAGTGTCCAAAATGCTTTGGATTTGGTCCAGAATCCAAATACTTTCTGTCCCAATCCAAAGTATTTCAGATAGAACACTTTGATGGAGAAGGGGAAAAGGGTATATCAAAAGAGACAGGATTTTTCTGCAATCCAGTTGGAATATTCTGGACTGGTAAGAAATGTAGAGGTTTGAGTAGCAAATAGATGCTCTGTGTGTCAGAGCATTCACAGTCAGACTGATCCCCAGTAGGATTTTAATGTCCTTTTGCAGTCGCAGAACAGTTTGCTACACCTGACAAAGCAGTGCCACTGTCCCCTCCAGTTGTCCCCTTACACTTGCAGCTTCTCATCTAGGCTGCTTTATCGTATAAAATCTATTCTGAAACCAGCCTACGGCAGCGATAGGGTGAAAAAGAGCCAAACCCAGCCTGGTTTAAGTGACTCTCATCTTCTTTTTCACTGCTATCTTCCTTAGCTCCGTTTTCTTTGTTTGGCTTATAACCAGTTGTTTGGAAAATGCAGCGGATGCCCTTTGTTGAACCAGATTTGAGAGGTTTAACTCATTTTGGAGAGACCTGTACTATGCTTAACATTTCTGTGATGTTATGCAGTTAAATAAAGTAACACATGGCAGCTGTGCATGTGCAGTTTAGTGAAGGATTTCTATACCAAAACATCAATGGCAACCTCTTACGTTTGCCGTTTGTGCCTAATAGAAAAGTGAAATAGTTACAATATATACTGGTGGGCCTGTGTGAACCTCATGGAGTTCAACAAGGCCAAGGGCGAGGTCCTGCCCGTGGGTCGGGGGATCCCCAGCACAAACCCAGGCTGGGCGAAGAGGGGCTGGAGAGCAGCCCCCAGGAGAAGGACTTGGGGGGGTTGGTAGGTAGAAAACTGCCTGTAGGCCAACAACGTGTGCTGGCAGCCCAGAAAGCCATCCATGTTCTGGGCTGCACCCAGAGCAGGGTGGGCACAGGGCCAGGGGGGGATTCTCCCCTCTGCTCCGCTCTGGGAGACCCCCCTGCAGGGCTGGGTCCAGCTCTGGGGCACCAACAGCAGAAGGACACGGACCTGCTGGAGCGGGGCCAGAGGCGGCCACGGAGATGCTGGGGGGGCTGGAGCCCCCCTGTGAGGACAGGCTGGGAGAGTTGGGGGGTTCAGCTGGAGGAGAGAAGGCTCCGGGGAGACCTTAGAGCGGCCCCCCCAGGGCTGAAAGGGGCTGCAGGAACAGGGGGAGGGACTCGTCATCAGGGGGAGGGATAGGACGAGGGGGAACGGGGTTAAACTGACAGAGGGGAGATTTAGATGAGATCTAAGGCAGAAATTCTCCCCTGTGAGGGGGGTGAGGCCCTGGCACAGGCTGCCCAGAGAAGCTGTGGCTGCCCCCTCCCTGGAAGGGCTCAAGGCCAGGCTGGACGGGGCTTTGGGCAACCTGGGCTGGTGGGAGAGTTGGAACTGGATGATCTTTAAGGTCCCTCACCACCCAAACCATTCTAGGATTCTATTGCTTGCAGTTTGTGGAAATCTGCACAGAACTGTGCTGGAGTTTAGGGGGAAAAAAAAACAAAATCTCACTTCCATGAGCATTTTCCCATAAATCATGGCTAGTTACCCACTGATTAGCTGTGTACTTCTACATGGCTAGTTACACACTGATTGGCCGTGTACTAAGAACCTTCCAGGGAGCCATAGCCCTCTTTTCTGTAATTCGTTGCACACAGGCACATCAGTGTGTCTTCACAGCCCCCAGGTTGCATATGAGCACAGTAAATTACAAGAAAAATGGTCAAACTTCGATGATGTGAATAGCATTGTTCACTATTTTCTGCTTAGGGTGAGCGTGGTGTTTGAAGTATTTTTGTACCTGGGGGAAAATGGATCATCATACCTATACTCTTGATTCATTTTTCTATTTTTTTACATCAGTCAAATCCTTGTGTTAGTTTACAGTTCTTTAAGTATCCTCAAGAAAAAGTCATACAAACAATAAACTTTGACGGAAGGTCTATGATTGAAGCAGCCATTTTATCCCAATTCACTGTACTGAGTAAAAAGATTTAAATATTTTCCACAGACAAAGCAGTTAAATGAATTCTTTTGCCTCCTTTTATACTACTTCAAGCTATGTGCAGTGCAGAAAAACGGTTTATCTGATTAGACGATGATAAGTATTAGGGTGGTGATGGAATGGGATGTTAGCTGAGGCAGAGCAGTGCAGAACCAGTAGAAATATAAGGTTACTTCAAAGTGTCTCTTGCTGCTTGTGCAAAAAAGAAATTGATGGCTATTATTTTCTCGTAATGGATCCAGTGCAATTGCCCTAAATAGCAACATGAGCCACAGCAAGACCGGGCTAAGAGATGAACAACCTTCTCTGCACTATGTGCTTGCAGTATTTTAAATATGCATTTTCCGATTTTACTGTATTACAGAAAGTTAATTCTCATTAAAAATAATAGGGAAATTATTTACCTGTTTTAGCCTTACATGGGATCTACAGTAAAAATGCCAACGCAGCATCCATCAGTAATGCTGAAACTTGAAGGTAAATTCTGCCTTGGTTTTGATAAAACTTGCTACCTTCTTAATCAGGCTAAAACCAGTCAAACACCAAAAACTTCTAAACTGAAAACCTGAGAGAATCTTGATCTGTTGCCAAGTGCTCTCCAACATCCTATTTCTGTGTACCAGATTTAGAGATTAAAGTATAGATTGTTTTCATATGAGAGGTGGAAGGGTGTTTGGTGTGACATTCACTCCTCTACCCTTCACTAGTACTCAGTCACCTCCCCACTGCCAGTGAGCAGAAGCTCATCCTAGTCTCCTTATTCCTTCCCCAATTTTGGTCAGCCAAGGTTTACATCACAGAATCATCAAGGTTGGAAAAAGACCTTGAAGATCATCTAGTCCAACCATTGACTTCACACTGACATCCTATTGGAATGCTCCAGAATGTAGGAAAGTTCAAAGTGCAAAACGGTGCCAGGCTATTCTAGAAGGCTTCATCCTACAGAAAATCACTTTCTTTAGTCTGAAAAATCACACTCTGTTCTTCAGGTTTCAGCACCTTAGTCAAGGGGGTATGTCCAGCCATCTCCTTTCTAATCCACATCCTTCTTGTAAATACCATGGCTATTTTTTTTTTTTTCCCTTTATGTAGCGTTTTGAACTTTACATTTATAAGTAGCACATCTAAGGAGAACGTACTGCATAAGTGTACTTAAGGGAATATTTTCAAGGACTATATTTATGCCTTCCTTTAGTGGTCTTGAAGGAAGGAGCTGTTATTACTGTTAAATATAGAAGTAATGTGTTGTTGGTACGGTTGTTGCAGAAATATTGTAGGATCCTAAGACTTTATGTTCCATTTGTATCTCGGAAAACCTTTTCTTATTAAAATCAGTCAAGTCTATAGTTAACATTTACTATGTTATAAAAAGTTATCATAACGTTAGTATTAGGAGTAAGGCAGAATTGATGATCGATTCCAAATAAAACCTGTTAGTATTGTTACTACAGTAGTTACTAGTGTCATCTTCCGTTTGAGCTCTAGGATTGTGGGTTTTTTCATATTTATTGTTTCAATCATGTATTCCATGTTTGTCTCACCTCAATAAAATGTTCAATCTTGAGTTAAGTCTTACCCAGTCAACCTGAAAAACTGTTTGGGGGGAATAACACAGTTCTGAACCTCTTTCATGAAGATTTGCTCATACAGTATAATCATGTGAGGGAAATTACTGCTTATGATATTCAGATTGTTTCATAGGTATTCTGAGATCAGTGCATTGATGCTGGCTTTTCCCTTTTTATAATACAATTATTTTGTAAGATGATTATTTTAATTTAGACTAAATGCAGGGGTTTTCCATTTTTATGGATATCAAGCCTACAAGCGGCTTCCTTCGCATTAAATTCGTTCAGTTTTATAAACAGTTTTTAAAGGGCATTGATTGAGCTAGTCATCTGTTGATAATTCTGAACAGAAGCATATGTGAAACTATTCAGTTAAAAGATACATCCCTTAATTCACCCAAACTCTATGTTAACTATTTAATAACATTTGCACTCTTGGAGCTTTTGAGATGTATCTCTATCGCATCCACATAGAAATAGAAATAGAATATGCTAGCAGGATTATATTTACCCAAAGCCTTATTTTGATGGTTCTATTGACATTTAAAATTTTGATTCGAAGCTCTTTAAATGGATGCAGCTGTTTACATCTTCACGAGTTACTGAACTGGGCGGAAAGACTTCAGAAAATGGCTCATGTGTTTTCTATCTCTGTTTTGCAGGCTGTTTTATTGGAGCCAGGGAGTCATGAAAGAAACTCAAGACGACAACTTGGATAATGAATGGAAGATAAAAAGAAAACAAAAAGAATGTGGCATATAAAGGGTATAATACCTGGAGGTATTAGATCTGACTCATATTTATAAAAATGAGACGAGCTTTCACAAAATACAAGTTATCTTAGTCATCAAGCTTGGAGCCATGCTGTTGAACTAGAAATTCTCCTTTTCCCCATTCTCCTTTCTGACAGGTAACAAAGGATTGGTGAATTATGGTTTTCCCAAGTTGGAAGCACTAATTTTTATCTATATAGTTCATCCTTATGAATATATAAGGAGTTAAACATTGCATATTTAATGTGGATTATAATGGGAAACTGACTCATTAACAAAAATGGCCACTTTTAAGGACTTGGTTTCAAACTGAGCTGGAGCCTCCCAATGCACTTTGTACAGTTTGGGGAAAGGTGTACTGAATGGCCTTCTTTGGGAGGCCATGATGACATGTAGTAAAAGGATATCATCTTACTGTTGATATCTTTGAAGACTCATAAACAGAAACAGAAAAATGAATGGTGGAAAGGAGTGTGACGGAGGGGACACGGATGGAGGGCCACCAGCAGTGCAAGTTCCCGTTGGTTGGCAGCGACGGGTGGACCAAAGCGGAGTGCTCTATATCAGGTGAGCTTATCTGAGGGGGTTCCTGCTTTTCTTATCGTCGTACTTTTGCCAGAACATGTGGTGAACGAGGGACTCATCTAATCTTCTTGTTCTCCAAAACTTCAAGGGCTTGTTGTTTGGAAAGGGCGAGATTAATTTTTTTTTTTTTTTTCTGCTGATATTAGTGGAGTCCACTTCTGTCAGTTCGTGCCATTTGCATGCACTTGACGTACTCTCAGATCTGATATTGCTTGGTCTTGAAAATTTGATAATCCTTACTATACATTTTGCTTTAGGCATGAATAGTTCTTTATTACTTATTATTGTTGTATGGGTTTTAAAGCTAAGCAGTAGCAGATTTAACCTTACTTAATATCTTTATTATTCAAACCTTTTACAATGACGCTAACCGGAGGTTTAGTTACGTGCCACATCCGAGATGAGGAGAAATCTCTGCTGGTTTTTGCCTGCTCCAAGATGCATAGGCATTGCCTTTTCCTTGCAGAGGCTTTTTAGAAGAGCCTTTGCTGGTGGAATTCAAAGCAGCAATCGGGCAGTTCATAGCAGGTAAGGTAGAGTAGGACTTGCTTCTTCTGTCAGCCACAAGCCTTCAGCTCAGTTCCTGCAGTGCCATGCAGCTTCGTCCTCACATTCTGTAGCTCTTCTTCCCTAAGTCTTTTCTGGATTTATGTTCCAGGTCTTCATCATCCTTACTTGTTTTTCTTACTCTCCTTTGAAAGGAGATTTAAGTGGTGTAACTGCTTAGCTGCAGAAAAAATGTGGGTTTGTATGCCCTGTGAAGGTTCTGTGTTCAGTGTCACTGACATTCTCCAGCAAGATTTACTTCTATGGATTCCCCACATTTCTCATGTAGAAAAAACAGGAACACAAGCCTAAATCCCAAGTTTTAGGTATTGCATTTGTTTATTTTGTTAGCTTATTGGATTTTTTTTGCTTTGCTTCACCCTGGAACAGTCACAAAGAAATGCATTGAAATTACTATTAAATTAACGTGTTCAGACAAACAGACTGTAAATTAAATGTTATTGGAAAAAAAAGATCAAAGTTAGCTTTAACAAAACATCGGTACATCAGCTTTACATCACAGAAATCTAAATGATTGTCAGTCTGTTATTTGCTTAATCTTATTCCACTATTCTCTAGTTAAAATAACCGCTTCTTCACAACCCTTCATGTATTACCAATACAAAATTCTTTAATGAGTCAAAGCATACTCCAATTTTACACAAAAGTACCATAAAAGATCAAATGCATTCCAGGATTTCTTGTCTATATTTTCAATTAGCAGAATCAAACAAAATCCATGTCAGTGATACGCATGTCAAAGATAAATTGCCTTCCCCTTGTATTTCTCATTACAGCTATAATTTACTGGGCCTCTGCCTTAGTTAAAAATCAATGAGAAAGAAAAAGTTGTGGGTTGTTTAGTTGGGGTTTTTTTTCCCTATCATCTCTATATCCAGGCATCAGGACATACAACGCTTCGGTATTTTTATATTCCTGATGATCCTACCTGCTTTTGAACTTCATTTTCTACAACTGTAAGAAGCAGGCTGCAAAGTTTGTGTCGCTTCTTCAGGCATGTGTCTTACATGTTTATAAACTAGTGAATTTTGGTGTAATTCTGGCAATTGTTTGCTTTTCTGTCTTCTTTTGATACACGTCTTCTCTCTGTTCAGGGAGACTTTTTTAATATTTCTGTTCTGAATTGCCTTACACAAAACACTGTTTTTATTCTAGTTGACCCTATTAATCAAGCTTACCAGTTGCCTTTTTCAGCGTGGAGAAGTTTGTATTATTTCTGCCCTCTTCCCAAGTTTTGCCCATATTTTATTCTTTTACTCTTTAATCCAGTGGTTAATTATCTGGTTGCCTTCTGTAACTCATTCTGATTAAGGAAAGGCATTTAGTATGGTCCACAGCTCTTACATTCTTATTTGGTGCAAAGCCCAGAGTGGGATATGTTGGCTGGAAAGGATGGAAATCAAATAATCCAACCTCCTGCCTGACGTGGAGCATCCTCGGACAGGTCAGCCCTTGGTTTCACCAGCTGCATTTTCAAGGATTGAGTTTCCAGAACCTCTCTGGGTAACCTGCTCTACAGCCGCACTGCCCTTCTCCTTTTCTGAAGGAACAACCACCTTGAAAATACAGCATTTATTGCGAGAATGAAAGGTCAAACAATATTGACTCAAAAGCTATCCAAGGGAAAATTAGTGTATATATTAAGATCTGACATGATTTAACTAGAATAGATGATCCCAGCTGAATAAGGACTCATTCTCTTTGTGCTTCCTTATAGAGCACGCATGCTTTCCTATCAACTGTCAACAGTTGCTTTGGATTAAATCCATTAATTAACTAGTTTTTATTACCTGGTAAAAGCACTGAGTTGAGTCTCGGCGCTTTTCTTAGTAAAACAGTGCTGCTGCCTTAAAGTAGGACCTAAATCTCTTCTTCAGCTTACTGTGGGTGAATAGTCATCAGTGGAATAAACTGAGAAAAGCTCTTTAACAGCAGGACCAGATTTCACAGCTGTCTGTAACAGATCCTAATATATTTTGTAATTTGCTTTTTCTTGTTTCTTTGGGAGACCTAAAATTTCTGGATGACCTCAGTGCTGAAAAAAACACCCTGGTATTTTCTTATAAAGGAAGCTGTGGATTATTCTTTGCAGTATAGGAGTGTGAGGGAATTTGCATCCACAAAAGATATTTTGCAATTACATAGTCAGGAACAAGGCAGAAAGAAAAAAAAAAATAGAGCGTTTTTAAAATTTTGTTGTTTCTCCTGGACAAACAACCATGCGTATATGTGCAGGAGGGCTGCTGAATCCCAGATGCCACAGATTCAGTGGGCTGATCTGTGCATTCCTGGTACACCTGGGTACCCAGACTTGCCTTTGCACCCCCTGATCACTGGGGCAGTACGTGTGTGCCTTATGGGCTCCTATATCTCCCCGTGCCTGAACTGGGTACACGTGCCCAGGCAGACTGCATGTCAAGGAAGGTTATTTAAAGTTGCTTTCTTCTAAAAACGGGTAAAAAAAAAAAATCTGATGATATAGCTTTACTCTTGCTGCTCAGTAGGCATTTTTTACTAATGCAAATAAAACGGCATCCTGACTCCAGAGCATATTCCCAGGGACGCTGTTTAACGCAAGATTTTTCAGCGTCACAGAAAGTGGACGTGGAGATTTTTGCATGTAAATGGGAAAGTGGAGAGCAAATGCCAATCTGAGTTTCTCCTGTGGGAAGCATCTTCAAGTATGGATCTCACCTGGGATGAGCAGTTGCTCCTGTGTGGGAGTCAGGACAGGTTGGGAATGTCCAAAGGGATCAGCCAGCACTGGAGATGTGGAGCCAAAGTACTCGCTGTGTTAAAATGTGATAGTGGTAGCATTGTGGTTTAACCAGTCTATAGCTGAAATGAAAATAAATAAATTTAAAAAAAAATAAAGCGTAATTTCCTTTACTCCCCAAGTATTTCAATTTAAGACAGCGAGTGTTGGCTTTCTGACCTATCTATCACTTCATTCCCATACCCGTATTTTCAGATTGCTGTTTTATCTTGCTTACCCTCCGAACCATCACTGTTACACATACAACCTGGACAGTTCTCTCTAAAATAATTATTTCGGGGCGAGTCTGGTAAATAAATTACTTATTTAAACCATCAGCGTAACTTTAAATGTCACTTGCTGATGTTGTTTTATATGTGACTTGGTTCTTCTGCAAAATGAGGTGTTTGTACATTGGGTTTTAAGTATGAAGTTTATCATAGTTTGGAATTTTGACTCTTGGCTGCTTTCGTGATCCGAACTATTCCACTTAAGTTGTTTTTGTTAAACTAAGGGCTATTTACAGTTGCCATTACGAGCCAGTGTTTTAGCCAGTCCTCATAAATTATTGTATTCTCTCCCTGATAAACAGTTTAGATGGCTAAAGTAATAAAGAGCAATCTGGAAGTTAGAGGCTTGTGACATGAGAACTTTTTTCATCTTATGAATTAGTGATTTTGCCGTAACAGAATTTCCAGTGTCCTATTTTTGGATATGGAGATAATGATTTTCTGGTGGGAGTTAGAGAAATCCGAGTGCAGTTTATCAGAAACTCATTGGACTGGCTTCTTGGTGTAATATTTCTTACTTACAGTGAGAGGGTTGAAATTTTAGCTGAATGAAACCAAACTGTGCAACTAAGAGACCCAGCCACAACAGTTTTGCAACTGTGCCCCCCTTTTTTATATGGGTTTGCTCATACTCCTTGAAACACGCCTCCCTGTTTTTTTTTTTTTCTTTTTAAATTAGGTCCCAACCCTAAAAAGTAGAGATGACTTTGGTGCCTGCATGGAACTGCAGTGATGTGATGGAGGGGGAGGAGGTCCATGGGGACTGCACTCTGCCTGTGTGTTACACTTCATAGGAGAGAAGAGGGAGAAAAATAATCTTAGTGTAGTTAGGCGGTAGTTAAAGCTTTCAAGCAGGACTGCAATGTGAATAGTAAATATCAATAATCTCAGTGACTTTCTTTTCTCTGCACTTGCTGTGTTTGGTTTGTTTTTTTTTTCCTTTAAAATGTAAAGAGTAAAATCTTCCTTTAAAATTTTCGGAGGGGGCTGTTTTTGATAAGTATCATCTCAGTTCTTGACTAAAAGCAAAAAGTACTATGGAAAAAAAAAAAGAAATCAGCTCTGTTATTTTAAACACTCTCTTATGTGAGCTGTTAGAATGGTAGATAGAAGTCATGACCTATCAAATAGCTTGTATTCATCATTTCTGTTCCTTTACAGTCCCAGTGGGTCTTTATTATCCTGCTTGGAGCAGGTGAAGACTTACTTGCTGACTGATGGAACATGCAAGTGTGGCCTAGAATGTCCTCTTGTTCTTCCCAAGGTAAAGAAAAACATCATTTTGGATCTCTGTGCTCTAATCCTTATGAGCTATGTCAGCTGATGTGCTATGCCATGACTTAATCTCTGTTCAGATCTCATATATAAAATGAGATAAGTGGTATACACCCAAAGATTTACCATAAAATTTAATCTCCCTTCTGCCTTCTCCCCTCATGGAAAAATATCTGACTCTGTTTTTGTGATGTTTGAACATTAAACTGGAAACCTACCATCAACAGCATCATGTTAACATGTGAGAATTGGAGCCAGACACTGATTTAGGTGATGGCTTCAGTATCAGTTTCACAAATTTATCATCTGTACACAAATTGTAAACTTTTCATCTTAATTGCAGGGCAATCTCAGACACACGTGGTCCTTTCTCCTTTTTTTCTCCATATGCTTGATACTGAGGAGTGTTAAAAGTTCTGTTGCTAGATGAAAACTTCCGTGATTCTGTTTAGTTATTAGAAATATATTCACTTTTTATTTATAATTTCGAAACATACTGTAAAAGTATCTTGTGGGCAATGTAGGAGCAGTCACCTCTAAGGATCAGAGGTGAATTTAATTCGCTGTAAAATTCCAAGTTTAGGTATATTTGGTGAGTTGCTACCTATAACCATTATTTTAAACATTGGCATTTTTACTCTCAGGTCTTTAATTTTGATCCTGGAGCTGCTGTGAAGCAGAGAACTGCTGAAGATGTTAAAGCGGACGAAGATGTCACCAAACTATGCATACATAAAAGGAAAATTATTGCTGTGGCTACACTTCATAAAAGCATGGAAGCACCACATCCTTCACTAGTTCTAACTAGTCCTGGTGGTGGAACAAGTGAGTAAAATCACGCAGAATCATTTAATTACCTAATTTTAAATATACGTAATTACTGTGCAAAACCACCCCCAAAAGTCTAATGTATCTGTGAGTGCACTAGTAAACAGATTGAAGGCAAAAATGGAGGTAGTAATTAGAGAGATGTAGGTAGGTAGGAAACGGTCTAAAAAACAGGTCATCCCAGACTAAGAACGTGATTTTCTTGGAAAAGATAGCAGATTGTTCTAGACAAAGAAAATACATTAGCTCTCATCTTTTGGAACTGTAGTAATATGTCTGATATTCTGTCACATGGGAAATTAGAGAAGCAGAATAAAGTGATTATAAAGGGATTAGAATGTGGCTAAGGACTTGGCTAAATGGGAAATTGTATTGCAAGGCAGAATATCCAGCAAGAGAAGATCTCCTCTGTAATTTCTCAAGGATTATTTTTGGCGACCAACCTGGATTAACATTTTAATTATCCATATCAAGAAAAAAATGAGATAATTTGTTGATGGATGAAGTTGACAGGTATTACCAAAACAAGAGAAGACCAAAACATGGGGAAAAACTGGGGGAAATCATTGAGACCTGGCGTGAAAGAAAAGGTATGGCAACAAATCCTGTTAATTGTGAGGTTACTCACCTGGGGACTAGTGAAAAGAGCTATTAGCTGTAAATTATTGAGAAAGAAGACCTAGATATAGTAGCTGATCAAAGATGCCTGTGAGCGGTACCAGATGGCAGTGTGGTGCAGATCAATGTGACTAGGAGAGAGAAGTACAAATGCTGTTGTCTGCTCGCTGCCTTCCTGAGCCCCTGTTCTCGCTGGCGGCACTCAAGCTGAAATAGAGCAGAGGATCTTCTCGGAGTGAACTGCTAAACCTGTTTTATGAAAGTCATCTTAAAGCGTTTAGCTTGTTCAACCTGGCAAAACGGTTGCTGAAAGGAGATACCCTTGCCATCAGTAAAGGCATCGGGAGAATCAGCACCAGAAAATAAAGCTGCTTAAGCTAAAGGCCAAAGTTAGCACTGAAAGAAACATCCACAAAATCAGAGTCACATAGAAACTCAGACTGAAAATTTGGTGCTTCCTAAGGACGACAAGGAAAGGTTCTGAAGTAGTCTTACAAATCCAAATGGTTACGCCAAAGAAGCGAAGTTACTTTTAAGACGGAGCTCGGTGAGTTTATATACTGTGATGCCTGCAACTTCTGGGAAATGGCCCTCAGTAATCTGAGAGATCTTCTGCACCACTATATTGCTGTAATAATAGCTGGGTAATTGCCAATCGCTCTGCAGCCTGACTTCAAAGAGGAAAATTTTCAGGATATAAAGATTAATAAATTTCAGGTAGGTAGGCAGTGCTAAGGTACCGGTGCTGTTCGTAGTACTGGTATGCTCTTGCATTTTCAAATTTCCAAATTGCTACTTAAATTTTTTAAGCTTTGCTTAAATTTTTTTGCAATGTAATTTATGTTTTATAAACTGAAAAATGCAGTTTCCCAAATTGCCATGGATTTTCCTTATTAATTTTTGTTATTAGTATTCAAATTACATTTTTGTTTTCCAAAAACTAGTAAAATGAAGGAGGTAAAACCAGATAAATATTAAAGACACAAGTCACATTTACGTGGTCTTACCTTCTCTGTTGATCAGACTTTTTGTGCACTAAGCAAAGAAGAAAATTTCCTGATAAATTGCCTCTGTAAACGAAATGTCTTTTCATTTATGCTCACTTACATTTGACCATTTGCTTAGGTCCAGAATTCAAGGTGAGGGTTCTCGTACATATTTCGTTCTGCAGTTCAGTCTTGAGATTTGTTGCCTAAATAAGCCTTTGGTTGTATTTTGGGAAAGGTAATATGTTTGTTTCTGTCATGATGTAGCTGCTTGAGCAAATAGGATGAAGGCAGGATTGTCAGTGCCATCTGTCTCCTATGGCCAGGCTGAAGGAAAGAAGGGAATTGGGTTCTTGTGAGCAGAAGAATTTAAAGGCACCTCTGAATTCATTTGAACATGAAATCTTTAGCTTGTTATTCAAGTTGAAGTTACATATTCAGAGGCTGCATGCCAGGCACTCCAAGCTGAGTTACAGATTCCCAGAGCAGCAAAACTGGCAGAAAGTCCGCCAGACGTGGAACTGCTTGTGATAGTATTCTTAAAGTAAAACATTGAGGGGGGGAAAAAAAAAATCTTTAAAAATAAAACTGATAGTAGTGGGCAGAAAAGGAAAGTGGTCTTGTGCTTGGAGGAAGGTCTGGCCTCAGAACTGGGATTTACAGGAAATTTTTCCATCGCAGAGGGGTTCACATGTCTACATGTGCAAACATCCCCAAGGCATTTATCCTGAAAACAAACATATAAGGTAGAGCCCTTTCTTAAATTTAGCAGCTTCACCCCAGGCTAAACAAGAACTTGTTGGAAAAGCTGCCGGAGAGGCCTGAATTCAGTAAAGCAGTGGAGGACAGTTTCCAGGAGCAGATTAACTCAGAGGACTGGGGTGCCCGTGGCACCAGCGAGTGACGTGGAGCAGCCGGAGAAGCGGTGCCCTGCCTTGTGCAGGCATCGTCTCCTCTCTCTCTGCAAGTGCCTGGCTGAACAGAAACGAAGCCCAAAGTCGGATGGTTCCCCGTTCATCCTTCTCAGGGACGGCGCTGGGGACAGGACCCCTTTTCTCGGTAGGGTGCAGAGAAATTAGCCTAAACCCTCACTGGGCTTTGTTCCTCCTGTACTCAATAGATGGTGCCAGAGGCTCCTTTTCCCTGCGACAGTGATAGCCTGCGCCAGCTCTTTGAAGTGGTGATGCTGGAGACTCAGCAGTAGGACGCTGGAGATGATGGTTAGAAAGAAGAAACAAAACGGAAGGGAAAAGATTTAAAGTTGCCCGTATTTACTTAGTCTTTATATGGGCTATGGAGTTCAGGTCTCTACAACTGCATGATGTAGTAGGGGAGCATGCACTGTGCCAGCAACTACTTGATGGTTTTAGTATTATTTCTGTTGAGGCAAAGGCTTAGCCAAAAGGTTTTCTAGCTTTTATGAATATTTTCACACGCGGTAGTTTTGCACTGGAATGCGTGATAACGGATTTCAAAACAGTAACTGTTGTGTTTTTAATATCAGGTGCAACTCCGGTAGTTCCTACTCGAGCAGCAACTCCAAGATCAATGAGGAATAAATCACATGAAGGAATTACAAATTCTGTGATGCCAGAATGTAAGACTCCTTTCAAGTTGATGATAGGGGCATCTAATGCCATGGGTAGGCTTTATGTGCAAGAAATGGCTGGAAGCCAGCAACAAGAACTTCATTCTGTCTATCCTAGGCAGAGATTGGGGAGTAATGAACTCGGACAGAAGTCTCCGTATCGTGGCAGTCATGGTGGGATGCCCAGTCCAGCTTCATCAGGATCACAGATATACGGAGATGGCTCAATCTCTCCTAGGACTGACCCACTTGGAAGCCCTGATGTTTTCACAAGGAACAATCCCAATTTTCATGGAGCACCCAATTCTAGTCCTATTCACATGAACAGGACGCCTCTGTCTCCACCATCAGTAATGCTACATGGTTCTCCCATACAGTCATCCTGTGCAATGGCTGGAAGGACTAATATACCTCTTTCCCCAACCTTGACCACAAAAAGCCCAGTAATGAAAAAACCCATGTGTAATTTTTCGACTGGTATGGAAATACCACGAGCAATGTTTCACCATAAACCGCCCCCAGGTCCACCCCCACCTCCTCCACCGCCTTCTTGTGCTCTTCAGAAAAAGCCATTAACATCAGAAAAGGATCCACTTGGCATACTTGACCCTATTCCTAGCAAACCAGTGAATCAGAACCCTGTTATCATTAACCCAACTACTTTCCATTCAAATGTCCACTCTCAGGTACCCGTGATGAATGTAAGCATGCCTCCTGCTGTCGTCCCTTTGCCAAGTAATCTTCCTTTGCCAACTGTAAAACCTGGTCACATGAACCATGGAAGTCATGTTCAAAGAGTTCAGCATTCTGCTTCAACTTCCCTCTCGCCTTCACCAGTGACATCCCCAGTTCATATGATGGGGTCCGGGATCGGAAGGATCGAGGCTTCTCCCCAAAGATCACGTTCTTCTTCCACGTCATCAGATCATGGAAATTTCCTGCTGCCTCCAGTAGGACCACAGTCATCCTGTAGTGGTATTAAAGTTCCTCCCAGGTCCCCAAGGTCAACGATAGGGTCACCGAGACCATCTATGCCATCTAGCCCTTCCACCAAGCATGATGGACTTAATCAATACAAGGACATCCCTAACCCATTAATTGCTGGAATGAGTAATGTATTAAATCCTCCAAACAATGCAGTTTTTTCTACTGCATCGGCTGGAAGTGGTTCCTTGAAGAGTCAGCCTGGTTTGCTGGGAATGCCTTTAAATCAGATCTTGAACCAGCACAATGCTGCCTCTTTTCCAGCAAGTAGTTTACTCTCAGCAGCAGCCAAAGCACAGCTAGCAAATCAAAATAAACTTGCTGGTAACAACAATAACAGCAGTAGCAATTCTGGACCTGTTGCCAGCGGTGGCAACAACGAAGGACATAGCACTTTAAATACCATGTTCCCTCCTGCTGCCAATGTGCTTCTACCAACGACTGAAGGGCAAAGTGGCCGAGCAGCACTGAGAGACAAATTGATGTCTCAGCAAAAAGATCCTCTGAGAAAAAGAAAGCAGCCGACCACCACGGTGTTGAGTTTGCTGAGACAGTCTCAGTTGGACAGTTCTGGAGTTTCCAAAGCTGGATCTGATTTGATAAGAAAGCAAAGTCAAAGCTCCTTTCCCATCAGTTCTATGTCCCAGCTACTACAGTCCATGAGTTGTCAAAGCTCTCACATGAGCAGCAATAGTACCACCAGTTGTGGGAGCTCAAATACTGCTTTACCATGCTCTGGTAACCAGATGCATTTTGCAGACACCAGTATGAACTCTGGCAGTCTCCAGAACTCACTGGCACAGAGTTTACCCTTGCGAGGGGAAGGTGTGCACTGCCAGAACACAAACACTAACTTTGTCCACGGTACTAGCCCGGGCACAACCAACCATCTCGCAGGTTTAATAAATCAGATGCAGGCTAGTGGGAACTGTGGGATGCTCAGTCAGTCAGGAATGGCTTTAGGAAATTCATTACATCCGAACCCACCTCAGTCGAGAATCCAGGCATCCTCCACTCCAGTGATACCAAACAGCATTGTTAGCAGCTGTAATCAAACAAGTCCTGAAGCAGGTACGTTTCCTTCTAAAAGGATACCCCTATGTTTGACTGCTTGGAAATATATGATGACCATTTTGAAACGGGTTCCTTTTACGTATCTACTTTTTAATTTTGAATTTACCGCTATGAAAAGTCTGCCTATTTCATGCTGATATCCAGAAACTCAAAAATAAAACGAATCAGAAAAAAACAGTGGTAGACTAAAATACATCTCCCTTTTCCAGAACAAAATCATCTTGGCCTCCTTCCTACAACAACTCTTGCTTTTATTATTAACTTCCACACACTCTGCATAAATAAAACCCACGCACTTTCGTACATACCCAGACCTCAGCTTTGGTCACTTGCCCAAATAAATTGGGGTGGGTTTTTTTGCAGCATGCCCTGCCCTGCTACTTCAACCCTAGAACGCTGTGGCTAACCTGGCAATGTATATTCAGGCTGTACATGTGTTCTTTACTGCTTGCGTTGAAGAGTTGGTGTTATCAGAGGTTGGAGCAGATACCAAGAGCACAAAAGTTTGCAAAATAACCTTTTTCAGGGACAGCGCGGGGGAGTGCCGAGTCTGTGTTTGCCTTTATCATGATAATTTTCTAAGTTGGTAATTAAATGGTTGAATAAACTGTATATTCCGTTGGAAGAGCGTAGAGATTTCCTGGTTTATTCATCAGCGAAGACTTGGAGAGGAAACAGGTATGCTGCTGTTAGTATCTCCGTGCCGTTTAAAGATAAAGGGGAGACAGCTCAAAAAATTTGTATTTCGTTTAACTGCTACTGGTTGAACAAAATATGCGAGTTTGAAAGATGATGCTGTGTTAATTTCTTAAGCAGAAAGAAAACCTTCCATCTGATGTTTCAGCCTTACAGGTTGGTTAACGTTCAAAGCGTGTGTTTGATACGATCAGAGCTAAACTGCATCAGGTCAAACGAAAGGAACTCTAAGCGTGCAAGTGGTCTCTCTCATTAACCCAAGAAAGAACCTGATATGTATTCCTGAGCTTCCGCCAAGAGAGCTGTTTATTCTTTGAAACAGAGAATGGAATTATATGAAAACTGAATTATAGAAAAATAATTTTCTAACATTATGCTGGTCACAGTTTCTGAGGGTTTCTCTCCGTTCCTGGGGAAAAAAAGGCAATTTTTTTCCTTAGCTATATTGGTGGTTTGTGTCGCAAGCAAGCAGCTATTAATCCTTGCATGGCTGTTTTGCCTTGTCATGCTGACAAAGAGAAGTATTTCCTGGTATAGTCTGTCTCTTCTGAGACCTTGTACTTTCTTCTGAATAGAACAAAGGTTTGCTTTTGCCTTAGGAGCTTGCTTCCCTGTCCCACTAAGCATACTACAAAATCCCTTTAGCGGGAACAATTTGGGTTTCCACCTCTTTTGAGTTCAGTGGGGACCACTGGTCTGTATGGTTCTTCTGAATTGTCACTGTCCACACAGCTGGAGAAAGCTGTGAAGTTACTGTGGCATTGGACTAACTTGCCCTGCAGAGAACAGAAAAGACTGTTAACGTGAGATAAGAGCCTGTGCACCAGCGATTACCTTCAAGAAGCTGAGCAGTAGTAATTCACCCCTGGGGAATGGGGTAAGGGTTGAAAAGGTCCAAGATTAACATAAGTTTTACACTACATAAAAGTTATCAACAAAAGGTTGCTTAAAAACTATAAAAGTGAACTTCTGAGAACGAGAGCCCAAGTTCATCCCCGCGGGGGGATCTTCTTGCTCCTGCTCCATCACTTTAGACCCAGCCTTACGCTGTAGCCTTGCCCTGCTGCATGGTGGGGTAGGGGCTGGGACCACTCCTGAAGGTTGCCTTAGGCCAGCAGCAGGGCTTGTCAGCATTCCTGTGTGAGTTAATCACAGCCTTTCCTTGTATCGCCAGTCCTTGGCTTCAGGCAAGCTTGAATTTCTTCCTGAAAAAGACAAATGCGACAGAACAAATCTGTGCATGTGTCAAAGCCCCGTGAAGAAACATTTCAACATAAACAGCCAATTTACTTCTCACCGATGTAGGAATAGTAATATGGATATAACCCCACCTGGGAACTTCTCTTCTGCTGCGGTATTTCTACCGACTGGTATTGCTGATACCTTGGAGATAGCTGATAGAATTATAGCAATATAATTATAGGGCCCTAAACTGACACTTTTTTCCTTATCTAAATGATAAATGGTAGTTCTGTGTAGGCAAAGACTAGAAAGATTTGAATACGTTCCCCACTACCGAAGGGGTTTGTTTCTTTTGTTTCGATGCTCGCAAAATGCACACAGCCTGCATTTAATTATTTTATTACTATCCGTGATGGCTAAAAGCCTACAGACCTGTGTTCCTCTTTAAGATGAAATTCCAGATTCTGTTACCTTTGTGTTATTCCCGGGGGCAAGGCCCTAAAATGCTGCATAAACCTTCATCCAGCCTCCTGCCTGAGTCATTGCAGCAGCGTGGGGCTTGGATGGAAGATTTAAATCTAATCAATATCCTCTGAAAATCCAGATACGGGCAGTTTGGGTTCTTCGCAGGAGGACGGAAGCGCTCTTTCTGTGAAACGAGTGCGAAATGTTGAGTATTTTGAATTAATAATAACCTTTAAAAATAAAAGTTAGTTACCAGTCTGCATTCGGGTTACGTAGAAAAAAAACTGATAAGGGGTGTGTTGGGTAGAGGGTTGTTCGTTTTGGTGGATGGAGCCGAGCCGTGTCAGACATGCCGTGTGAACCCTGCGTTCGGGAGCAGTTTAGCTGAGTAAGATGTCTTCCGAAAACTCTTGCGTTCCTATTGGAGTTTGTGGGGTTGTTTGTTGTTTTTTTTTTTTTCCCCCTTTGTTTTCAAGTATTTTAATTGCTAAATCTGTTTTCTGTTTCTGTGCCAGCATTCAGAACAGCTACTAATCAGAAAATAGTTCCTGAGAGGAAAAGAAATACCGAGAATCACCACAGTTAGATAGCTGGTTATTGCCTAAGCTTTTAATTATATTTTAACCACATGGACTGAGGTTTATTATTCTCGGTTTTGTTTTCTTCTTCCGCAGATAATATCTTTAGTTCCCAGGTCATTTTCAGTGTGAGTGTGATGGAATTAAAAATGAATAAATACAAAAATAAAAATTCCTATTTATGCAGTAGAATGCTTTTGCAGTTTTCCAAGTTTGAGCCCTTGAAAACCCGTTATCCTTAATTAATTTTTCTTAACAATTTGTGTGTCTCAATTATATGGTATTTGGGTTACAAACCCTGTTTAATAAGAGCTGTCTTACAGGAAGAGCTAGCAGTAGGTCTGTATAGCTTATTTAGGGCTATTCCTTTGAAAAAAGTCCATTTTCTGCCAGGAGACTGGGTCCCAGCCTCATTTTTTCTAATGAGTGGTGTTAATATTTCGGTTAACCTTTGACGCTGTCTTCCTCATTAATCAAGCCCTCAGACTTCTCATACAAACTGAAGGGAGAATCCAGTTTGGCAGCTTTAAGGGTTTTTTTCATTAAGCCACTTTGCTTCTCTTTGGATTTGTCTGTTCTGTTTGTAAAATGGGACTGTGTCTGTGCGATATATTTTATTGTAGAGTTTGGTTCGTTTATTTTTTTTTTTCTTGCTGTTAGCGCCATTAGTCCAAAAGTTCACAACGTAGAGTCAACATTCAACATGCAAATCCTGCTAAGAATGCAACATGCATAAATAATGGGATAGATGAAAACAAGTGAAAAATATTTGGGAGTAAAAGCCATATACAGGCGATAAGGGAAATCGAGAGAACTAATATCATAACTGTAGTGAATAGAAATAAAGATGGTAAGTTGTCCCAAGTATCAGAACATCAGAAATATGAGAAAGTCTAGTTTTGCAGTGACAAATAAAGGGCAGAGTTGGCATACAAAGGCTGTATCCCTTCGCTAGACTCGGAACAGTAATTTTTACTGGCGAAATCTACAGAATAAAAAAATATTAAAATATAATTAAATAGGGAGGAGTGCACAGGACCAATACCAGTCACTGAGGAGCTTCTGTCCCACTCAGACAGAATTGATTTTAATACAGACAAGGACAGTGTAATATAATTGGGAATGGAACGTTGCCCTGGAAAACAGTGACTCGGAGGGTTTTAGGAGGCTTTGACTTGATTTAATGAAAACTGTCAGGTCAGTGAGGTTGCAAACAAACAAACAAAAAAAATAAGCTGTCTGGATCCTTGGAAACATAAAAATGGCAATAGGAGATGGAACTGTGGGTGCTTCTGGCTCAATGTACAGTTAAGAAAACCAGCGTGAGGATGTGATGTTCTGGCTAGGGGTCACTCCTCGGGAAAGGTACAGAAAAAAAACAGCAATTTGAAAAGAGGGAGGCAAAATTGCTCTTGGGTGGTTGTGGATCAGGCCCCGGGACGTAAGCCCAGAGGCAGCGTCTGTGCTCTGCTGTACAGAAGATCCCGAAGTCAGGCTCCACTCCCACGCCCTGAGCCTGTCAGCAGGCCAGATGCCAGCAAGTCAAGCTGGATGTGAGGTATTCCAGCACTTGGGAATTCCCTGGAATCTGCTCTGTCAAAGAAGTAGCCAAGGAATAGTATCTCTTCCTACAAGTATTTATTCTTGGGCACTATCTGAAAAGGTGGAGGGCTGAATTATTTTTACCTTGTTGGCAGGCATTCGCTGACAACTTCCAGCGCTGAAAGCTGGTACATTCATCATCAAAGAAACGAGTGGTTTCCTTTTAGTGAGAATACTAAGTGTTGAAATACTCTAGCAGAGGACATGCTGAGTGTATGAATGGAAAAAAGAAATTTCACAACCCAAGTGTGCATAGGAACGTTTTGAGTGATGATGGTGGGCGCTTCCGACCTGAGCATCTGCTCAGCTCAGCCCGCCTCGTGCTGCCCTCCCGAACTGACCTTTGGGTGGCACAGAGACTGCTCAGAATACTTAAACATCTGTGTTAAATGGTATAATGTAACCTCGTTAGCAGGGTTTCAGCCCAGTTTAACGTAAAGGACTCAAAGATGGGGATTTTTTTGCCAAACTGAC